GGGGGGGCTCCCGCTTGCCCCCGCGCCTCCTGCCTGCTTTCTGCTCCACAGCACCTGCTGGCTCCTGCCAGCCCCGCGTCCGTGACCCTGGCGACGGCCGAGGTGCGATGACAGCCCCGAGTCCTGGCATAGTCCCTTCTTTACGGAGGTCAGATCGGCAACAACGTTCAGTGCGCCCGCGACACTTTTATTTGAAAAAGGATTTTCTCGAAAGTAATGGCCCTGCTAATGAAAATCGATTTTCCTTCCCAACAGTTTATTTTCCGGAGAACAAACACAGGAGCCCTTAAACGTGTGTGCTCATGGCTAATGGTGGGAGCACAGACACGGAGCTGTGACCTCAGGAGGGGCAAGTCAGCATGGGCCTCAGCCAGGCGCCCCGGCCCCGTCTCAGGGAAGGGGGGGTGGCTTCCACATGGACAGAGAGGTGACAGGAAGGGACCTGCTGCGCAGCCGACCCCCCGTTTCCACTGTACCTGCGCCCTCAGCTGCCGGAGCCCTCGTCACCTCGGGTTAATAGCATGGCCTGTGGATGACCTGTGTCCCCTCCCCTTCCAGAACGCCAGCCCCGCGAGTGCCTGATAACATCCCACGTTTGCTGCGCACTTAACACGTGCCTGGCGCAGTGCAGGCCCCTCGCCTGACTGCACCCGTCACACCTGCCGCTCAGCCCTCTGAGCAGCCGCGCAGCCCCCGGGTGAGGGGACCCAGGCGCAGGGACCCCTGAGCGCTCACCAATGAGGGCCTTTCCAGACGTGGCGAAGTGTGAGTGTGTCCAGCAGCGTCGCACTTGAAGGACTGGATTTTTATCACAGCCACGCTATGGAGCTACATGGTATTCATTATCACGAAAATTACGTGTTTTCCCATTTTTATTGCTGTACAGCATTGTTTACACACATCGCATGTAATTTATGGACTATTTAAGGGGCGTTCAAGGGCAATTAGAGACCAAATGGTCCTTCTGTTCCTTCTCCCAGGCTCTCTAAACCAGCAACACCCATTTGCCAGATTTTTAGTTTTTTGCTTTGTTTCATTCTTTTAAAACCACTAAAGCGCCAGTGAGCACACACTCACTGTCTATCTCGGATGCAGGCGGCATTGAATCCCATTTAGGGAAACCTGATGTGTCACAAACAATGTGCGTTTTAGATTTTGATGGATGTCGCCAAATTTCCATCCCAAAATGCTCCGCCAGCTTACACGTGAGCCAATCGTGTGGAGAGAACTCACTTTCCCATGTCCAGACATGGGGTGTGCGTGTGTCTGCGTGTGTGTGTCTGCGTGTGTGTGTGTGTGTCAAAGTAATGGAAAGATTAGGTATCTCATTGTTTGTTATTGATTTCAGAGAGAGGAAGAGGGCTCACAGGTTGACAGTCATGTCACCCCAAATAACGAGTCCTTTCCCTTCTGCTCCAGGGTCTGCCTCTCGCTGCTTTGTCCTACCGTGTGGGCAGCACCCCGTCATCCTGGGGACGCTCACTCTGCGCCCGGCTTCTAAAGTGTCCTTGTTTGGCATTTTATGTTTGTCACAACAAGCCTCATTATTTCTATGAAATTTCAGAACATTCAGAAGTCATATAGCATGTTGAATTACTGCACACTGGAAAAAATTAATGTACAGGCTCTTCCAAATATATTGGTTTTCGAAACGCTGCCCATTTTTATAAAAATCACAACATACGCATTACATTTCTTCTGCTTCATTAAAAACTTTTTGTATCACATTTCACTATTTGATGATTTCACTTACACTGTATTTATGGAATGAACTTATTTCTATAGCAATTTGGCTGAAGGTCTGCGTGAATGGAAAAACCACGGAAATGCGGGCGTTCACCTGATCTCATCGTTAATAGGGCGGCGGACAGGGCGGCCTCCTTGGTGTGACACACACCGGACACAAAATGCTCCGCAGACTCCTGTTAACAATGAAGGACCCTCCCTCCCCTCCCCAGCGACTCTGGGTTCTAACCAGGCGGCCCTGCTCCCGGTATAAATTCACCCTCGCGGCCCTCGATCGCCGGAGCCTCCCTGACGCAGAGCGGACCCGAGCGGAGCTCGCCCCCGGTCACAGCAGCGCTGCTTTTCCTGCTAAATGCACGAATGCAAACTGCCGGTCGCTGCTGAGTACCCAGGCGTGGAAAACGCTTCGGGAATGCCTGCCCGCCGTCGGGGTACAGCGCCTGGCTCAGCTCCGGCTCCCTGTCCCCGCGGCCCCGGAGACGGAGGTTCAATAAGCGTCGGAGCCACTGTGCCCCAGGCTCGGCTCCCCGCAGCGGAGGACCAGCGCCTGGCTCGGGCTCAGGCGGCACCGTGCCTCCCACCGCCTGCTGAATATCTCCGGGGCCTCGGCCTCTCAGGCCCCCCGCCCTGTTAGCAGCTGGCTTTGAGGTTAGTTATTTCGGGGGAAGCCCCTCGTGTGGGGCACAGGGAGGCACCTCTAGAAGAAGCTGGAATGTCGGGGGGTTGGGAGCACAACTCGCGTTGGAATTTCAGCTCCCTCGGGAGCTGCGGGTGTCGGACGGACAGGTGACCTCACACCCCTCAGCCCCAGCACCTTGTGTGCCCGGTGCAGGCCGTCCCATGTGAGGCTGCCGGGGAGCTCGGCGAGAGAGGAGAGGGCACGCGTGTAACAGGGTACCGCACGTGGGGAACACGGGTACTCCCTCCCTAAGGCCGCCAAACAAAGCACCACACATTGGATGGCTTACGGAGGTCGATGCTCTTCTGGAGGCCAGGGGCCCGAGATCAAGTCGCTGGCAGGGTGGGTCCCCTGCAGCTGTGAGATAAGCTGTGGCTTCTCCCCCAGCTGTTGGGGGTTGCTGGCCACCCTCGGGGTTCCTTGGCTTGTGGAAGCTCCCTCCGTCTCTGCCTCAGGACCGCACGGCTTTCTCCCTTCGGGGGTGTCTGTGTCCAAATTCCCCTTTTTATAATGATACCCCGCCCTACTGACCTCATTTCAATTTGATTGCCTCCCTCAAGGCCCTGTCTCCGAATGAGCTCACCTTCTGAGGTTCTGGGGGTTAGGTCTTCAATCTGTGAATATGGGGGGGGGTGCGCAGTTCAAACCATGCCAACATTCAATAAATATCAGCTGTTCCCAAATTTTTAATACTAGATCCAAACCTGGAGAGAGAGATCCCTCCAGATGAAAGGGACGGCACTTTCTCGGCTGGGCAGTGCAATTTCTTGAGCATCCAGAGAGCTCTTTCGTGAGAAAAGAATACATTTCTGGGAGCTGACTCGGCGCGTTGGGAGCCCGGGGGCAGCCGTGCAGCACGCGGGCTCGGGCCTCGCTGTGCTCGCGCTGGTTCCCTAATGAGGAGGCTCTGGAGGGAAGGCCTGGCTGTCAGGCGGGAGCAGCAGGCGGCTTCTCTGTTGCCTGCATAGGAAATAGCCACATTTTCTCCATGTTTTTTCCTAGTGGGCAGCTTCAAGACAGATGAAAGAAAACGAAAAATAAAAGCAATTTTTAATTTATTTTTATGTTTTACTATATATATCCCAGCAGAATCCCTGCTGCTGTGGGTTTAAATTGTAAATACTTTTCTCGACACGTATTTCCTTTGTCCCCAGGGATCTCAGACAATGCACGTGGCTTTCAGAACTCGAAGCACAGCTTCCTGTGTACCGCCTGGTAGCAGGAAGCTGTTAATACACCGATACTTTGGGAAGCTACTGAAGTTTCCTGGGACTGAAAGGAAAATGAGAATTTCTTCGCCCGAGTGGGGTCTCAGACGCTCTGAGCAAGCCACCTGTCTGTGGGTGCTTCCCAGCAAGGCGGGCGAGGCTGGTTTTGCTTCTGGGAGGGAGGAAGGGGCTCATGGAGGTGACGGTGGCTTTGCACGGGGACTCACCGCAGGAAACAAGTCCACGTAGACCCGACCAGGGTATTGTGTTCCCAGGCGGAGGGTGCAGGCTGAGCGGGAGCTTGCTCAGAGTCTCCAGATCCACCCGCTGCTCCCCACTTCTGTCCATTGGCTGAGTATTATCTACGAAGCTAAACAAGAACCCAGAACTGCACAGCCGGGGGTCCTGCTGGGCGTATGTGAGGCTTAGCAATATCCAAGGCTATTTTTCTTAGAGCACTTTCTCTGTGCTCACTCAGCATATGAGTCTTGACCCCCACTTATTGGAGATGAATCTAGGGTGACCCCACTTTGATCAAGCCTGGGAAAGCCCCCAGGCCAAAGCTCAGAGAGCATTAGAGGGCCTTCTTCTCCGAGTTCCTGGGGCCAAGCCGGTGCTGAGGAATGAAACAAGATGCAGCTGTGATGCCAGCCGCTGAGAGGGGGACCTCAGAGCCCAGCCCCCACGGCCTCTTAGAAGGTGGCATTTGCAGGGAGGCAGCTCACCTACTGAGCACCAGGATCACCCAAGAGGATCGGAAAGTTACCCACGGTGGGCAAATAAAGCCAGAGGCCATGTTGAAGACATGGCAGGCTGGGCACATGAGAAGGAGGGACAGACGGAGCCCAGGCAGCCTGAAGGCATCTCAGAGACAGGGA